AGACATGGATCAGCTGTAATCAAAAAGTGGTGCCTGTGTAGGTGTTTACCAACCTGATCCATATGGCAGGGGGAATTATAAGAAAGTACAGTTTATTAAATGCAATTCCTAAATCCTAGATAGCAAATTCCGCATTTCTCATAAACAGTGAATTACCCTTACAGATGTTTGTCTATGAAATTATCATCTACAGAAGTTACTTTGCTAGGAAGCACAATCTGTTTGTCATCAAATCTAAGAGACACATGTTATCTGCATTTTTGACTCTACAAAGGATTTAGTTGATAGTTTGTTGACATTTTATGTAAATTCTTGCTATAAACAAATAAATCACATTGCTGCAGAACAAATAATCACTGAACTTCTATCCTTAGCTGGTAGCATTTAAAGCATGCTACTCTTATTGGCTTAATGCTCCCAGAAATGATAACTCTATGATGCATAAAACACCATGGAGCTCAGAAAAGAAGTCGCTGGTGTTGTCCACATTATTACTTACAAGCTGTCTAGGAATCTCTGCATGATAGATGAATTGAAATTGCAAAAATGCAATGGGGTAGAGCTATTGTTATATTTTATTTCTCTTTGAACTTGAGAGTAGCTTGACTCTAAAGAGGAAATGGTCCACTGATAGAAACAAGTACATAGGCTAGGATACACTACACAAATGGGTGCCCTTAAGTTTCTGATTCATAAAATTTATGCTAAACAATAATATTCTTGTAAAGTACCAAATACCTGAGTTTATGTAGCTTGCTTTGTGGCATTAAGTCAGTTTTATGAAAAAGTTTTGTAGGCGAGTACATTCTAGTATGTTTGAAAAAAAATTGAGTATGTTGACATAATTTCATTTATACAAATTAAGGAAATAACAGCAGATAAAAAAACATAACTCACACCGGGCATTGGTGGTGCACGCCTTTAATCCCAGCACTCAGGAGGCAGAGCAGGTGGATCTCTGTGAATTCAAGGCCAGCCTGGTCTACAGATCTTGTTCCAGGACAGACTCCAAAACAATACAGAGAATCCCTGTCCTCGAAAAACCAAAAAAAATGACTCACAGGACATTATAATATTAACCATAAGGTGAACTGGAGCCTGTAAAATAAGGATAGGTACAGGTAATCCAAGAGGGCAAGAAGTCAGGATTGTTGTTATCATGACCTGAGGAACTGTGATGTAGGGCAATGGCTTCCCTTCTCAGAGTTTGACTTTTCTGAGTTATATAAAATATGATGAATAGTGCAACTTCTAAAGGTTTCCCAGAGGAGTAAAAGAAATACATGTAAGCACTGCCCAGTCATTACTGTTATTACTTCTTTTATCACTCCTAGTATATTTGCTACTGCTATTTTTATTGTTCTTTAAAAAGCAAGAAATGTCAGCCACTGTTTGAAGCAAACTTTTTGATAATTTTTAAGAGTTAAATGAAGGCTGGTGGCAACTCATAGCTAAGCACAGTGCCAGGATCACTAAACTTAGACAACAAAGAAGACTATGTTTTACTCTACTTCTGCCTCATGCAAGCATAACTATCCTTGACTGGAGGCCATTTAACCTTGGGGACTTTGACTTATTGAAGTTATAATGGACAACCTTATTTTCTCAATAAACATAATAAGGTTGAAGTGCTTTGAACTGTGGATACCTGCCACAGGAAAGTGAAGTTTCCTATAAGGTTCAGCTAGCCTGTTGTAGTGTGATTGTGCTTGCAAGGACACAAGGAAAAGAGGAAAGTGCTAGAAGGCCAGGAAAGCAGGAGTGCAAAGAAAGGGGACAATGCTGCTCTGAAGGGAAGCTGAATTCATTTTCCGAGAAATAGTGAGAGGGGCTTTCCATAAAAGTGAGTTGGTTTGAACTTAAACAATATTTTTGAGAAGTGGGAATAAAACAAAATGCATGAGGCAAAAGCATTTCTATTGACTGGGAGACCAAAGGGCTGGCCATGAGGTAGACAGACCCATGTTGTCAAACCTAGATAATACAGAAATCTGTCCCAGGGTTTTCATATATGGTGGTGTAAAGAGGTTTAGAGATGAAGGAAAATTACGAGAACGAATAAACTAGTATGTACATATGCAAATAGCTTGCACAGTGACTACTGTCACAAGACAAAACAAGATGACATCAAGGTGGGAAAGGATTTCATAGAGGGAGTGGCTGACAGGAGTGGCAGGAAGATAAGAGATTGTAGGGGATAAGACTAATCAGAATGAATTAAATACAATATATATCAAATTGGCAAAGAATAAATTCAATAATAAACAATTTCTTCACTGGAACAAAAGGTAGTGGGGTAGAAAGGGAGTAATCATCCTTTGTGGTTTAGATAAACAGACTGAAGAAAAACAACACCAAGAACAACTGGGAGATAGTTCTTCCTCCTCAGGGGGCTAGAACTAGATCTTTAGTTACACAGCCACTATACCAAGGACAGATGAGTCTACATTTGAATCAATTTAGTTTGAAAAGCACAGACAGGTTCCTGAGAAGAACCAAGAAAAGAAAAAGTTACTTTGTTTGCCTTTGTATCAATTTAGTTTGAAAAGCACAGAGGGGTTCAGGGAAGGAATTCAGAAAAAGAAAAATATTTCCCCTAAGAGGGAGGCAGATGTGGAGTAAATGGCAAATAGACTTACTGTAGAACAACCTACAGACAACAAAAGTCCTGGAACCAGATATATATATATATATATATATATATATATATATATATATATATATATATATATGATTAAAACAAAACAAAATCCCACAGCATGTTCTGTTGAAACATGCAATGTGGTCTATAGAATTTAAGAATTAGTCATAAAAATTGGGAAAGAAACCTTGGAAAGTTAACTTTTGTTCCATGTGTGGGGAGTAAAACATTCCACTCTTCCAAATGAAAAACTATTTACTTCTAACGCTGCTGAAAATGAACAAAATGGAATGCTATACAATGTCCTTTCAAAAAAAAGCAACTGAAACAACCAGAACAAAACCCCAAAACACCAACTTTCCCTAGATTCTCTTCCAAGAACAACAGATGGACTTTTGTTACTTTTTCAAATGCTACTATCTTTTATGAATTTATTAAGGCAGTTTGCCTTTCTTTCCATGCCTAAGTGAAAAATCCTTGTTTCTCTAAGTGGTTAGCCTCTGACAGGTGTTCTAGTTAATTCCCTCACTGTCACTGTGTGAAACACTTAAGCACCAAGCTGATCTTCCCCGAAGAAAAGAATTCAACTGTGACAATTTAGGTGGTGACTCTTAGATAGATCTGGCATTCTGTGTATGAAGAAAAAGGCTTAACTGATCAACTTCATTCATGCTTGTCCCCACCCCCTCATAGGAGCAAGAGAAAACCGAGGTTAGCATGTTCACTGAGTAAGCCATTTCTTTCATTGTTGTCTTTCTTTAAGGAAGGTGGCTGACAGTGTGGAAGGATTGAATGGAATTTCCTGTATCTACTCAGCGGGCAGAGCAAATACCCAAGTTCCTAGGGCTTATCATACTTGTTAATTTTACTATGACTACCATGCCTTCCATCAAGTCCCAGGGCCCCAAAGAAAAGTAATGAACAAATTGCTAGGCTCTTATCTTACAAAAGTGGCTGCCATATCTTCATTCTATACAGTATAATCTCTAATCAGACAAGTAAGACTAATCTATTTAATGCTCAAAAGCAAGGTCTTCATGCTGAAGCATGTTCAGAGACAGCCATAGGAGGGGAAAGTATTTAGCAGGCCAACATGACTGTAGGAAGCTTACTGGTCTTCACTATTCTTTGACAGCATGCTATCAGGGATGGCTTCAAACACCAGGATGCTGAAAATCTCTTACCCAGGAACCAGTGCTAAGGAGAGGCATTCTGATGTTGTTAAGAGAGAGAAAGGGTTTGCTAAGTTTTCACTAACACACACTTTGTCTTCTTTTCCAGGGAGAGAGCATATATGGTTTCCACATGCCTAATCTGGTCACCATTTATCATAAAAATGAGCATTTTTGTACTACTTGACAGTTTACAAGAGAATTATGCTATTATAATCTTTGACAGACAAGAAGGGAGATTCCTTGTCCAAAGTCACAAAGTCACAAAAGTGACAAATGGCAAAGTCAGGAAGGAATTTGCTCCTATTATTAATCTTCTTGAAATACTATATTACCATATGATGCCTAGTGGCAGAGATAATAGGTAGATATATTTTTCTCACTTTCTTTTGGTTTTTTGCTGGTGTGTTAACTTCCAAAAAGGGTTCTGCCACACATTTAATCTTTGCTCTTCCCCTAAACTCTTCACACTACTAAGCAGAACTGCTCACACATGCCATGAATTGTCAGTCTCCCCTTCCTCCCTCCCCCACTACACCACCCACTGTCTCCATAAGCACATTGCATTGACAATTTGTTCAAGGCACAATGAGGTGTCATTAAGACTCAGCAGGCAGAAAGATGAGGAAGGAGATTTTCTGCTTGATAGGGAAAAGTTCCTAAAGAAGGTGAGAGGCATTTCTGTACAGGACTCAAATTCAGTCTCCAGACTAGTGAAGAAATTGCCATAATTTTAATGAGTGATAAGAGGTATGAAATGAGGCATGTGCTATAAGCAGTAGAGCATAGATGTTGATTGAAAGGATTCCTTGTTATCACACTTCTTGAAACAGAAGAGTTGTTTCCACAATTTAAACAAATAGTTTGCTTTCTTACCACCAATGGAAGTGGGGACTGTCTGACACTTTTGTCTGCTCTTAGAAGCCTTTTATCTCCTAGTGGATCACCATGACCAGCAGTGATATTATGGTTTTTGTTCAGTCTTATTGTATCTTGTTAGGCCATGTTCAGTGGATATCACTGGGAGGCCTGCTCTTTTGTGAAGGGAAATGGAGGGAGGAGGAGTGGATCTGCGGGAGAGGGAGTAGACTGGGAGGATGGGAGGGAAGGGGAACTGCAGTCATGATATAATGTATGAGTGAGGAATAATTTTTTTAAATGGCACAGAAATAAAAGTTCAAACTCACCCGCAGGATTTCCTCAACACAGCTTGGATCACTGGGAAGGCTTACCTAAAATAAACAAACTACAATGAACATAACCAAGTTCCACACAGAGATGCTCAGAGTATAACAGTATTTACCATCTGATAAGTCATAAAGACAGGAAAAAAAAGCTATCAACCTTATTTTCCCTATTAAATACAAAGTTGCAGGGTCTGCAAATGGCTATATGGTTTTAATTTTAATTTAATTAAACAGTACAAGGTGTGGAAAGAGACTCCTTGTTCTTTTACTGATGTGCTATAGGACACTGAGCTGTTTTCTTCCCATTCAGGTTTATCCAAAAAGGGAAGTTGACCTTGGGGTCTTTCAGTCTTTCAACACTTGAACATAGCTTAGCGTATTATTATATTTAAATAAGAGGGCTATATAAAAGATTTCTCTGATTAAATTGAATTCCCCTCCAACTTGGGCAGTCAAATCAGATGCCAACATTTTTATTCCAAAAAAATGAACTGAATTCCTGTGAGTATTGCAGATTTGCCTTGGCATTTAGAGGGAATCTCATGCAAATAGTAAGTGAATGCCATGAGCCATCTCACCTGCCCCCCCTCTGTGGCACTTTCTTAATCAATCAAAGTCCAATCCAAACATAAACATACTGAAGACTTGCTGTATGCCAACAAATGACATTTTTCTCCCAGGGCTTGGAAACCAGGGCTTGCAAAGAGCCAAACATCAAAGTCGCTCCTCTGTGGTACATGATAGGAGACGTTACCACCTGGTAAACTGTCTATCAATCAGCTTGTTACTTGTGTAGACTCTGAGAATCTCCTAAACATTTCCACCTTTCTCCTTTAAACCTTCATCTTCTCCAGAATAAAAATCCCATCACTGATGTTCTGGGAAGAAAAACAGTGATGATCTCTCATTAACTGCTTTGAGGGATGATGGGGAAATCCCTGCAGTGTGAGTACTGCCACACTATCTGTGAACCCCAGACTTCTTGCAAGACTGGTACATCTTTATGCACAGATTGCAGATGAAATTAAAGAATATTTGAGGAACAAAGGTAAAGAATATTTGAGGAAATCTAAAGTGGATGATGACGCCATGTTTCCTTAATCTTAAAAATGTACACATCACATAAATATCCAAGTGTTATAAAATTCATTATTGAGCATCCATTGATTTCCATACAAATTTATTGATTTTTTTCTTCATGTAAGGGCTCCTGCTTCAGGAAACATAAAATCCCGAGTAAGGGAGACAGGCCATGAGATGGTCTTCAATGAGGTTAGCTTCCTTGAATTAACACACACACTTCCAAGTTACACTTGTTATTTTATATTTTAGTATAATTATTAACTGTATTCCCTTTCATATTAAAAAAGGCTCCACTTTACCTCATCCAGTAATTGGTGGAACCAGATGCAGAGACCCACAACCAAGAACCAGGCCGAGCTCCAGGAATCCAGTCAAAGTGAGGGAGGAAGGAATATATGAGCATGGGAGGTCAAGATCATGATGGAAAAGTCTACAGAAACAGCTGAACCAAGCTCATGGAAACTCATGAATTCTAGACCTACAACTATGGAGACCCCAGGGGACCAAACTAGGCCTTCCCTATGTGGGAGACAATTGTGAAGCTTGGACTATCTGAGGAGTCCCTGGCAGTAGGACCATGGAACAAACCTGGTACATGAGGTAGCTTGTTGGAGACTACTCCCCATGGTGGGATGCCATGCTCAGTCTTAATTGCATGGGAATCTTAATGTATGGAGAGGGGTCTGGCCCTGCCCTAACCTATTTGTGCCAGACTATGCTGATGCTTCATGGGAGCCCTTACCTGTGAGGAGGAGTGGACTAGGGGTGGTCTTGGGGGAGGTGAAGGAGGTTGGGAAGAGGCAAGGGGAGAAGGAGGGAGAACTGTGGTTGGAATGTAAAATGAAATCAAAAAATAAGAAAATGGAAAAAAGGCACCACTTTGGATGACAAACTATATAGCCATCCTTCCAAATGCAATAATATTTGAATACGTAGTATAAAAGACTCCACAAATCAAGACAAAAATTGGCTGGACACATGCTGTAAAGAAATTCAAAAGATACCTTTCAAATAGGTACTTACCAGTGACTGGCCTAACAGAGTTAATTCGTTCTTTTGTTTATTCAAGAAATGTATCTTGCTGGGCAGTGGTGGCGCATGCCTTTAATCCCAGCACTCAGGAGGCAGAGGCAGGCAGATCTCTGTGAGTTCGAGACCAGCCTGGTCTAAAAGAGCTAGTTCCAGGACAGCCTCCAAAGCCACAGAGAAACACTGTCTCGAAAAAAAAAGAAAAGAAATGCGTCTTCCACTGCCAGAGGCCCCATAGATTGCCCAGGCCTCCTGACTGACACCTACGATCAGGGGGTCTGGGTCGGTCCTATGCTGGTTTCCCAGCATCAGTCTGGGGTCCATGAACTCCCCCTTGTTCAGGTCATCTGTGGATCAGTATTAATCCCTAGTATACCAAGGGACTTTGGGAGCCCATTCCACATAAAGGGATACCCTGTCACCCTAGACAAACAGGGGAGGGTCTAGGCCCTGCTCCAATTGATGTGACAGACTTTGAAGATCCCCATGGAAGGCCTCACCCTCCCTGTGGAGCAGAAAGGGGATGGGATAGGGGGTTTGTGGGGGCAGGGGGGGGGAGGGGAGGGAGGGGAAACTGGGATTGACATGTAAAACAAGCTTGTTTCTATTTTAAATTTTTAAAAAGTGGGAAAAAAGGCATGTATCTTCAAGGCTAAGTATTCTGCATCAGGCCAGTGGTAGATAGAAATGCAATAGTGAGCAAAAGAAGGCACAATTTTCTTCCTCATTGAGTTGGCATGTTTGATAGGAAAGTGAGTAAGAAGATTGCCAATACATAACTATGACTCTGCTGCAAAGTGCTACGAAGGAAATTGTTCCATGTATACTGTCTCTAAAACACAAGAGGCACTATGCACGAGTATGTGTAGGAAATGATCCAACCCACATTTCCCTTGTGCAGTTCCATTTTGCAAACCTAAAAGTTGTGAGTTATCTGCCTAAGGGTTTGGATTCAGCATAGTCTCCAATTGCTTGATGTTTTAATGCTTGGGTCTTTACTTCAGAATTAAAATGTTTTAAATTGATTTATTTTATGTGGATGAGTGTTTTCCTTGCATGTATGTATGTGTACCACATGTATGCTTAGAGCAAATGAATGTCAGAAGAAGGTGCTAGATCCCTTGGAACTGGAGTCATGGATTGTTGCAAACCACCATGGGGGTACTGGGAGTTGAACTCTCTGCAAAAGTGACAAGTGCTCTTAATTGCTGAGTCATCTCTTCCGCCACTACTTTCGATAATGATTTCTAAATTAACAACTGCTGATAATCAATGGAACATGTATTTTCAGGTCTACTATAATATTATACAACACAACTTATAGTTTTCTTTATTGGTAATTCTTAGTATCAAAAAATGTATTCACTAATTGCTCCGTGATCCAGCAATTGTGTTTTTCAAGATTCTTAAACTTCCAATGAATACCTTACATAAACACAAATATCCAAAGGCTCTGGTAATGTTACACAGTATCAATGTAAGCTCTGTTAGACTAAATATATATGGGCTAAGCATCCCCTTGAATACCTTTGCTTACCCTTTTTATAAAAATATACCAATATTAATTTTGAAGCTAAAGAGGATGAAAACAACAATTTTCACACAGAAAGAGTACTCTCCTATGAGTCAAAAGCTTTGAGTACAAATCTTGGTTTTAGCTAATAGGATTTAGTAATTTTACCTATCAAAGTTTCAGCATTTATAACCATAAAACAAAATTTAATGTGAAGTCCAAATAATAGTAACTGATCCTTTCAGATCTCATAGGGTCCCTGTGCTTATCAAATGAAATAAGAGATGCCATGTGTGCTTTATAGCTGCAAAACTACACAGACTGAGTCAAGCAATGGCCCTTCTCCTGTGATTCCTCACACTTGTGTTATTAAAAGTGCAGCTAAAAGCTGCCTCACATCAACTGCAAATATCATCCCTCCACCTGGAATTACAGATATTCCCTTCTTTCTGGAAGGAAATTCTTTCAAGAAAAAGAGATGTGGACACCAGGGCATTGCAGCAAATCAGATAATGGCAATCGGAGTCAGAGACAGTGTCATTCACGATTGAGAAATGTACAGACAAATGTATGTGTACTCACACCCAGTGTTTAGATGTATTTCTTTTTTTTTCTCAAGAAAGTAATGGAATCTAGTATTCTTGTATTTCTGCAAATTTTTCTAGGTGAGGCTCCCAGCTGGTTTGTCTCCAGACGACTCAAATGGACCTGGAAGTGCCTCTTATGCGTTTGGAACAGTATTGGGCTTGGGGACTTGCGAAGACAAATGCTGGGAGACCTGCCCTGTCTCTCAGAGTTAAATATCTAGACCTACGGGAAAACAAACAATTAGAGACCCACTGGGACATACATGGTAAGGTAGTCTTACCAGGGGTAATAGGATCTCATTCATCAGATCTCCCATTTACTTTTTCAGACAACAAATCCTGATTGAGCTCACACTGTGCTCAGGATGGTGCCAGGGGAGGGAGCAATTTAAAGATAAAAGACAGCATCAGGCTTATCTTGAAGACTCCATGAAAATAAAGGGAAAGGAACATTGTCTGTTTACACAGGAAGTAGACAATAAGCAACTGGAAGTGTCTTTTAAGTGCCAAGGACAGATTATTTACCAGGTTCACTAACAGGTCCATAAACTACAGGAGCTGCCTGCCCTTGAAGTGCTCACTGTAGTCCTCACACTATATGGAAGTGAGAGGCCAGAGATTCACATGGCTGAGAAATGTTGGGGCCATGCCCCCTACAGTGCAGTGACTCCCTGGGATCACAGTTCACACTGGAAGAAAGCTGAACTAAGGCCAAGGCTGAATTGTGTTTTCTTGAACACCATGTCAGGCAAACCACCCACACTTAGGTTAGGGATTCCTTAGGAGTGACAGAAGAGAAGAGGTACTAGGGTTAAAATGCCAGACTGTTACTT